TGGTTTGTGGATTATATAGATGCATAAATACATTCAACGGACAAGTCTACAAATACAGTATTTATATAATGAAGAATCAAACTTAACCACATCATAAGAAAGGTTTCAGATATTCCACATCATTACTTCATCTGTGCCCTTGAACAGAAAAAGCGAGAAGCAATAGCAATTGCAGTCATTGTAAAAATGAGAAATGAATAAATAACCTAAATGTAAAGAACACACGCCAACGCAAAGTAAATGCTAAAGCACTCAGTCCGTGCACCTCACCTGTGCACTTCCACAGGGGGAAGCTCATACAGCATGAGCTCGCCACCGTCGGTGGTGACGAAGGCGCCGCACCTGCACGGAGCCACCTGCTGCGCCGTCGCCCTGAGCGAGAGGAGGAAGGTTGCTGTCAGAGGGAAGAGGCCCAACAGGAGGAAGTGGAGCGAAAACGGAGGCTATTTAATCACGTTACAAGTTTAATCAACAAATGAATGAATAAAATAATGATCATGGAAATAGAAAAAGTAAAGGCAAGGTCAAATGGAATTGTAATTATTATACTTTCTGATATATTCAGTGTTATTACTTTTTTAGGGGGTGGTGTATTGTTTTCTTATTTTATGCCTCTACTAATATGAAGATAGTGATTATTTTCTCTGAAAGACTTTACAACTAACACCCAGAAAAGTCAGGTTCGAAATATCATTAACCAATGTACCTGTAGAGGAGAAGACATAGAAGAAGAATAACCGTTTACTTACGCAGCGAAGAGGAGAGCGAGCAAAACGAAACGAAGCATCGCGGAATCTGAAGAAAAAAATATATACATATATACTTTTATAACTGTTAAGATAACCACCATACAGTTAAAAGGACGTAAAAAGAGAACAAACAGGCAATTATTCTGATAATGCAGTGCATTAAAGTAAAGAGAAAGGTGAAGACAGAGACACAAACTCACGTACTGGTTCGTGGTGTTATGGTGTATGGCGACGGTGCGGGCGCTTTTATCCTTCTCGGCGTGGGAAAGAGCGTCCCCCGTGGGACTGTGTTACGAAACCGAACCGGGTTTCCTGAACCACTCCAGATGCGAGTGTGTGATTTGTAAACTAAATTTTGATAAGGTTTATAGATCACTCGCGTAAGCCTACTTGATCTGCACATACGGTATGGGCAAACACATACACACACACACACACACACACACACACACACACACACATATATATATATATATGTGTGTGTGTGTGTGTGTGTGTGTGTGTGTGTGTGTGTGTATGTATGTATGTATGTATGTAGATATAGACTGATATATATGCATATATATAAATACACACATATATATATGCGTGTGTGTTTATGTAGAATCATATATGTATACACAATACACACAGACAAATATATGTCCAGTTGGTTTATCAAAGCTTATTCTGGGTCACATACCTGCAGTGGCAGAGGTTCAGTTCTTCCACATTTACAAAATGGAGGAATGTGTAGGTGTGTGAAGTTCACAGCTAAGTCTATACTCATTATCCCGGTCCGCTCTACCCTGTGTTTCATTACCCCGGGTTGCATTTCCCCGAGTCATTACCCTGGGCTGCATTGCTCCGGGCCACACTACGCCAGGCTGGATCATAGTGGCTGCAAGATCTCGGCTGCCTGTCATATTTGTTTTACAAGTGATTTGTTTCGTTTACATGTTATATATATTGTAATTATTGATAATATGCATTGAAAATATATTGTTTGAGTTTACTACATACCTGCATTGTAGAGAGTGGGAGGAATCCAACGATACCGAAATCGTCGGACGTAAGATTGATAATATACACTGAAAATATAGTGATTGAGTTTACTATCTCACTTGAGGCAATTTATTCCCCTGAAGATAAAATAAAAGAATAAAGCGGTTAGCTTATGATCATATCTGACACATTAAATGAGACCCATTTACTGAATGTGAAATATGAGAATTATCAAATGGGAGGAAACCTTGGATATATATGTGTGTGTGTGTGTGTGTGTGTGACGTTTATTGCCCTCCAGAGTTTATAAACTGCTTTCCTCCGTTTATGAGTAAAGGAGGGCATGTAACACCCGTGACTTCGCAAGCAAGGAAAGGCAAATCATTGAGCTAAGAAGAAGTCTTGACTTTTATCCGTGTTTTCAAGTTTTGTATAAGATAGATCTAACATGGCTCAGATTTTGTTTCTGAAAACCATGATATCTGACCAAGAAGTTCCGTCAAAAATAAATATGAGCAAGAAGATCCAAGATATTTCGAGAAATCTTGAAATATCTTGCCGTCAAAAATGCGCGTCTCTCTCTACTCTTCTCTCTACACACACACACACACACACACACACACACACACACACACACACATATATATATATATATATATATATATATATATATATATATATATATATATATATATATATATATATATATATATATATATATATATATATATATATATATATATATATATATATCATACATACATATATACACATATGTGTGTGTGTGTGTGCAGGTTTACATATACATAAATACAAATATATACATATGCATATTGTACAAACACACACACATATATATATACATATATACATATATACATATATGTATATATATATCCATATATACTTGTATATATACTTATGAATATACGTACACACAAACATGTATATATATATATATATATATATATATATATATATATATATATATATATATATATATATATATATATATATATATATATATATCTCACACATTTGCATAAACTTATATGTATGTGTGTGTGTGTGTGTGTGTGTGTGTGTGTGTAAAACATTTGGGTAGATGGACTGGTGAACCGACAAATGGATAGATAGCTAAAAGACTAGTAGATGATTAATGTTAGATATATGTTCAAAGCCCCAGGAAATCAACGGTTTGATAAAACTATTGATATATTTTCATCTTATTTATTTCATTTTCATTTTGTAACAGTTGATCAGTAAGTCCGGTCGTTGACGGTACGTGAAGAGTTGCAAGGCCAAGCATCACAAGGTATGCTGTTGTCCACGTTTAGCAGGGGACGTACTCGGCGGCGTCGGTGCAGCAGAGGGGCTGCTGCGTCGAGACTCCAGTAAGCTCCCAGGGGCCGTCGCAGAGCTCATAGTAGGCGTACACCTGCAAAAGCCGGAAAGGTCAATTCTGTTCTTCAATAACGAGTTCCTTTTGCACATAAACCACCGAAAAATTGAACATCTACAGGATCTACAACTGAGTTTTGATTTAGTAAAAGTTATTCGAGTTTTACAAGAATGAATATGGAGGAAGGAGGCAGGAAATGCTAATTAATTCTGAATGGTAATTTTAGTTTTGCAATTAATGGCAACGCTTATGTGAATACATCACTTTGTGTACATACACACAACCAGAAATACATACACATATAGAGAAAGAAAGGGAAATTTAGTAAAAGAAAGATACAACGAAGCTTACGTTTTCGTTAGCGACGGCCACCCCCGCCGCCTCGCACAGCACCTGGCCAACAGTCGCGTTGGTGGAAGTGACGAAGTCCAAGTCGCCGCCTCCAGACAGCATTTCGAACTCCTGGACGCAGCGGGACTGGCAAGGATGGCTCTGGTCGCAGCTGTGGAATAGGTGTTGTTGACTTTATATATAAAATATTTAGATTTGTTTATGCAGCATATATAGAGAAAAAAAGAAGCAAGAAATAATCAAAAGAAGTAATAGTATAGATACATATATAAACGAAAAATATGCACATGCACACGCAAGAAAATGATAGAAGTGCATCGTTGCCCCACTTCACCTGTGCACTTCCACAGGGGGAAGCTCATACAGCAGGAGGTCTCCAGAGTCGGTGGTGATGAAGGCGCCGCACCTGCACGGGGCCACCTGCTGCGCCGTCGCCCTGAGCACGAGATCAGAGGAAAGCCGTTTAAGAAGAAACAAACGGGATCAGAGTAAATATTGAGGATGTACTGTCACCACTCTAAAGTTGGCAGAACATCTAAACAAAAACTAGAACATGAAGAAAAAAAATCAATGAAGGGTAAATTTAAAAGTTCCCAATTCATTATTCTTATTTTTTCTCTCCATTGTGTTTGTCCACACTTATATCAGAATCTCATTTACTTACGCAGCGAAGAGGAAGGCAAACAAAAGGCAACGCAGCATCTTGGTATCTGACAAGAATTAAAGGTAAAAATAAATTATACATTATATCAGAGAACCCAGGCAGGACCACCGACAGGGGAGGGGGTAGCCGGGGTAACGACCCCGGGGCCTTTCGGGGCCCGTAAAAATTTACAGAAGTCGTTTATTTGAGCCCAAGAACAACTAAGCAACTTTATAGGGTGTATTTATACTAAAACAACGTTACAGCAGTTAATGTTAACAAATTTAAGTGGAAAATTGTCATTTCCTATTTGAAAAAGGCGTTTCCCAACAAACAAGGATGTGGCCCTGAGGGCCCGGCCCTGTTCTTTGCCCCGGGGCTTATTTAAAACTATAAACATATCCCAGGATTGCATATCACAATTCCTTAAAACTAATGATATAAACGATACTAAGAAATAAAAGGACTAACTCAAGGTAGGGGTTCGTCGGTTGTGCTGTATGGGTCGAAGGAGTTGGCGCTTTATATACTCTCCAATGTGGGAAGATTTCCATACCTGCTCACGTGGGAGCCGTGTTGCTGCTGCGAATCAGATGCGTGTTTTCTATCTCTCGATATAGGCATACTTGGCTTGTACATGTATACCTACCCTGCTTAAAAGAGAATTATATCTATCTATATCTATCTATATCTATCTATATATATATAATATATATATATATATATATATATATATATATATATATATATATATATATATATACATCACACACACACACACACACACACACACACACACACACACACACACACACACACACACATACACAGCACACACACATATATATATATATATATATATATATATATA